GGCAGAGCCCCAGCCAGTGCAGTGATGGGCGGAGAGACTCGCGGTCCTGAGAAGTATTATGGGCTGTACTGAGAGATTTGGAGAGGGTCGGGGCGGGGGGGAAGCAATCTGAGGGATTCCGGGCGGCACCGCTAAGGCAATGTGGCCAGCAGCATCCGCGCCTTCTCCTTCCCGCCCCAGCCCGGGTTTGTTCAGTCAGAGCTTCAACACAGCCGCTGGGAAGAAGAAAGGAAAAGAGAAGGAGCCTTTACCTGGCTCTGACGCGACGGTCCCTGGCCCCCGGCTCCGCTTCCCACTCTGAGCTCTCCTCCCCTCTCTTCCCCGCCACCCGATTCTACGCAGATAAGTCCCCCAGTCCCCTGAGGAGCCTCCGCCAACTCCGCAGGACCCCGCCGGGAAGCAAAACCCACCCCCTTGCCAATCACCACCCGTTTTCTATCGACCGATGGGGCCTATAGCCAATAGAAATAGCTGATCCCGAGAGGCCAGGAATTAGAGGGCGGAGCTAGAAAAACTTGGAGGTGTGGCTAGCACTGTTGAGGCGTGGTCAGAGAGTGAGCTCCACCCCCGCTGTCGAACCCTACAGTAGAGCTGGTGGGCGGGATTAAGATGGACCCATACCCAAACACAAACTCCTGAGAGAAGGCACGACCAATTAGATTGGGATAGAGAGGAGGGGCGTTGCGGAGAATTTTAGCCAGTAGGGAGTAGAGACCGGCGGGGACTGTAGAACATCTTCCAATAAGAAACGTGGGGGGCTGTGCCTTGCCATTTTAACTGGGTCAGGGGCGGAGACCTAGCCCAAACCTCCAGAAACTGGCCAATGAGAGTAGAGGCGGGGCCAAAGGCAGCCAAACAGAAAGCCGAGCTGATCTCTGCACCGTTACTGGGGCGGGAGGTTGTCTGCTCCAGTCCAGGGGACCTTCCAATGAGAGGTGTGGACAAACTCTAGTTCTCCCAATCGACGCGTGGCGCTGGCAATTCAAACTGACAGCCGGCTGGAAAGACACAGAAAGCGGAAGAGAGCAAAAAACGACGTGTTCAGTGACAAGCCCCAGCGCCGACTGAGCCCTCAAAGCGGCCTCTGCCCTGAGCTACTAACATAACCACGTGTTCGGGAGCGGTCCCTGCGGGAGAAACCTGAGGGGACCGCGTGGGACACGAGGGCGAGCTGAGGGAGGGAGGACGCGGGAGTAACGGCGCGAGCAGGCCGAGGGCCGGGACTGCAAGGAGAGGGGCCCGCGAGCCAGCGGAGCGGAGGATGGTTGCAGGCGAGGACTGAGAAGCGGGGATTGTTCCGGTGGAAAGAGCTGAGGGGGTTGTGGATCCTGGGACCGAGGAGCTTGGCCGGTGATCCGAGAGGAATTGGAGCGCTCTGAGGGAGGGGCCTAATACTGAGAGAGAAGCTTTAAATGAAAGCGACCACGGGAGGAGACTGAGCGAACTGCTGGAAGGGGTGGGGGAGCTGGCAAGTAGAGGATCCTTTTAAACAGCAGAAAAGCTGTTGAGAAGTTCCCCTCAAATTTCACTTGCCTCTTGCCCACGTCAAATCTGAAAGTTAAAAGGGAAACCAAGTTTGCTGCTGCGTCAATTGTACTTTTAACCCATCCAGCAGAAAAAACAACTCAATTCCTTTCCAGGCTTGGGGCTTAGAAAAACTCCGATTCTTGCCACTTCATTTTTAGCCTGGGGGAATCGAAGTAGCAAGGCTGTTGTTTCTGATCCCTTTTTCAAAATCACACCTTCTCCTCCCTGGGACGCCATGTCTGCCAGTAGTTGTTTCAAGGACCGGTGCGTGTCTATCCTGTGCTGCAAATTCTGTAAACAAGTGCTCAGCTCTAGAGGAATGAAGGCGGTTTTGCTAGCTGATACTGAAATAGACCTCTTCTCTACAGACATCCCTCCTACCAAGTAAGTCATGCTAGTGGGCAAAGGTAACCTTTAACTAAGTGGGGAGTGTCTGGCTTGGGTCGCTGAGAGGCAACGAGGAGGTTATCATTTTGGTGTTCCAGCCCCTCCTAACAGTCTGACGATCCCCTTGGAGTGTATCTACGTTGGCAGACCGTCTGGACAAAGCCTGTGGTTTAGCCAGTGGTCCGTCCTATGTAATGCTAGTTCAATTACAGTCATATCACCACACATCCCTTAAGTTGGGTATCAGTCAGGTGCCCTGCCCAACCATCCTTTCTCACTGTAGACTCTAGCTACGTCCGGCGAGATTTTCTGAACTGTGGGAGAGCAGAGGTCTTTTAAGTACTTTGTTTTTATCCATAAAGAAAACATCAGACATTTAAAACATACACACACACACACACACACACACACACACACACAATCTGTTTTCTACCATAGTTTGCAATTTGGTGTAATCAGACCAATTGTTCATCTGTACAATATTTTTTCTCAACTCTCTCACATTCTCTTTTCTCTCTCTCTCTCAGGGACTTAAAGTAGATTTTAGGAGATGAAAAGTGGAGCTTTAGCCTTAAAATGATCCTTGTCTCTCATAAGGCCTATTTGGGACAGTACACATTTGTTTGTATAATTAAACCCTTTTAAAACCTGTTTTCAACTACTTGCTTTTAAGTGGAGTCCTTAAGGATCTGCTTTGTATTTGGTAAAATAGTCATTTTATTTGACTCAAATACATCCTTTCTAGCTCTAAAAGATGCTTGTTCTTTCTTTAGTCAACTAATATGTGCCCTACATGATTTCAAAATTTAGTCCTAGGGACCAGCAGATGGCATGATGGTTAAATTGCTGGACTCCCACGTAGTCAAACGCAGTTCTAGTCCTGGACCAAAGGCTTAAAACATGCTGGGTGTGTGTGTGTGCACGCACCTGCGTGCCCAAAATCCTAAGAAGAGAATGGAGGAGAAGAGGTTGTGGTGTGGCTATCCCTACTGGAGGGTGATTTCTCGTTTTCTGTCTGTCTCTCCAGTGAGCACACATGCCCTGTTAGCAAAAATCTCTCTTAAAAAAAAATCTATATCAAAACCTTATTATTAAACTGAAAGAGTAATTAATTATCCAAAATGTCTGCCGTGTCCTTGGACACAGAGTCAGAAAAAACAGGCTAGTAACTATAATTCATTTAAAAGGAGTTTTAGGATCGTGATGGAAAATTTAAAAGTTTTTAAATATGCCCAGGTAAAGTTGTGGCCCCTTGCTCCCTTGAAATCTTTTCTGAATTACATTACATGTAGTCATGCTGAACAATAAAGCCAAAGGCTCTCATTTATTGCAGAAACAAATGGTCAATATCTTCAGCCAGTGTGTGTATAAGCATATGTGTGTTGCAAATTAAAATAAAATACTAGACAATAAATGGTAGAATCTATTTTTGCAAAGGTCCTATGAGTTATTGTGTAGTGTTTTCTTTTTAGTAGCACATAAACACACAAGGATAACATTAGCCCATTCATCCTTCCGATAGTTAGGTTAAGTAATAAGGCCGCCATAAGGAAAACTGACATGGATGAATTGTTATAAATTAGTCCAGAGTCTAGATTAAAATCAGGTCTTTCCTAGTGTCACTCTTTCTTGTAAGTGCTGTAATAGCAATGGATTAATGTACTAAGATGTGTGTGAATCAATGAACACGTAAGAGTTTTTAAATGGAAGTTTTATCAGATGTTTATGGTGCGCTCATAAATATTAACTGAGTCTTGCAGAATATACTAAGTTCTACTTTAGAGTCTCTTTCAGATCTTTGGATCAACCAATTTATGCTGTCACTATTAAAGTGCATCGGATGGCAAGGATATAGAGATTGGTACCCTTGTGTACTGTGTGAAAATAAAATGGTACAGACCCCAGCAAATGGGGTAATGGTTAGTTGCTGGACTTCCATGTAGTCAACTGCTGTTCGAGTCACAGACCCAATGGCTTAAAGCTGATGCCGAGTGTATGTGCATGCATGCTCAAAATCCTGAGAGGAAAATGGAGAAGGGGGTTTGGAGTGATTTCTCAATTTCTGTCTCTCTGTCTCTCTGGTGAGCACACACACCCCAAGGCAAAAAATTTATCTTAAAAAAAAAAAAAAAAGGAAGTAAAAAGTACAGCCATGATGGAAAACAGGATGGTGGTTCTTCAAAAAATTAAACATAGAAGTAGCCTATGATCCAGTACTTCCATTTCTTCATATTACGTCCAAAAGAATTCAAGGCAGGATCTTGAAGAGACGTGTGCACACCTGTGTTCATAACAGCATTATTTACAATAGCCAAGAGGTGGAGTCAACAGATGAATGAATAAATAAAATGTAGGCTATACATACAGTGGGATATTATTTAGCTTTAAAAAGAAAAGAAATCCTGTCACATCTACAACATGGATAAACCTTGAGAACACTATGTTAAATGAAATAAGCCAGTCACTAGAAGACAAATAGTAGATGATTCCATTTATGTAAAGTATCTAAAGTAGTCAAAGTCATAGAAACAGAAAGTAGAATGGTGGCCAGGGACTTGGGGGGTGGGGGTGGGGTGGAACGTTCTTGAAATAAATAGTTTCAGTCTTACAAGACGAAAAAGGTCTGGAGATTGGTTGCATAGCCACGTGACTATATTTAACCCTTCTGATCTGTACACTTAAAAATGGTTAAGTTAGTATATTTTATGGATTTGGTTTTTTGCCATGATTACAATTTTAAAAAGTACATTTGACTGTCGGTACTTTTTCCTCTCCAGTACAGTGGACTTCATCGGAAGATGCTATTTCACTGAAATCTGCAAATGTAAACTGAAGGACATCGCATGTTTGAAATGGTAATATGTGGCAATCGGCTAGAAAGCCCTGGGTTTGGAAGATGGATGTTGACCCCAAAGCACAGAGAAAGGTTCAGTGGGCTGCAACGAACACTATATAACGCATTCAATGAGCCGTTGAAAAACCATTTGTTACTGAGAACGTTTTTAAAAGGGTCTGTGATACTTCACATTTCTCTATGATTTTATGATTTTTTTAAAGTATATTCACAAGTATCTGCCTTAATTGTCAGACCGAGGCAATGTTGTTTGGGGAGAATAACACTTGAATTTACGGTCTTAAAAATCAGATTTGAGCCCTGGCCCTACCTTTCCTCTCTTGAGTAAATGTAAACCTCTACACCTTTGAAACTCCTTCCTTACTTAATTTTTATTTTCTAGAAATAAAATTCTATACTAGAAGTAAATTATAAATAAATATAAATTATATATAAACTATATTTTTATAGAAATAATCTTCTCTATATAATGTTGTGAAGATCAGCGAGTTCTGAATAGTAAAGGGCTTGATAAATTATAAATTCTAACCCAAATGAGAACTATTACTGTGGTAAGAGCTAGACAGATTTGTGTTATTCCCATTTTAGAGAGGAGGAAGTTGAACTTTAATTTACATGGTGTTTGAATTATAAATTATAATTCTAATAATTTAAATTACCCAATTCATGTGCTAGTGACTAATTTGTTTTATTCACTCATTTATCCTAGCTATATTGAGCACCTACCATGTGCTAGTCATTATCATAGAAACACAGAAATAAACAACACAAAGTCACCGACTTTTGAACATTATATTCCAGTGGGAAGACAATAAATCAATAAAATATTTAAATCAATAAGATAGTTAATATGGTGACAAGTATTCCAAAGAAGATAATACTGATAAGTAATAATAAAGAAGCACAACATTTCAAAAAGTGAAAGAAATAAGTAAAGTTAATTTTAATCTTTCTTTTTTTCATAAAATTTGCAATAGGGCACACTTGCCAGAGACAGAGAAAAAGGGAAAGTGATAAATCTCCCCTCCTTACCCCCGGAAATGGCCACATCACAATCCCTTCTCCTCCATTCTACTCTTGGGATTTGGAGCACATATGTGCACACATCTGCCTGGCATGTTTTCAGGTCTGGGACTTGAACCACAGAGTAGGCCATGTGGAATCCAGCCACCTTAACCACCATGCCACCTAACTGGCCCCATATATTTTATTTAACCTAGTATATCTAAAATTATTGTCATTTCAACATGTAACTAACATATATGATTAATGAGATATTTTCCATTTTATTGTTGGTTTCTCGTCTTTGAAATCTGGTGTACATTTTACACTCACTTACACTATTCAGGCCAGCCACATTTCAAGTCCTCAACGGCCACATGCGGCTAGTGACTATTGCTTTAGGCAGTACAGATCTCAATGTTGTTTCAGAAGAGGTTTGATTTTAACTTTTGGCCAACAGGAAGTCATTGAAGGGATTTTAGCAAGAAGCCAAAATAATCTGATGTCTCCCTACTGGAATGTTACTCTCATGAGAACAAGGACTTTGTTTTGTCCACTGCTATATTCTTAGCACCTATACCACTACCTAGCATATAGTAGATGCTCAATAGACATTAGTTAAATTAGTTACTTTGTAATTTTAGTTCAGTGAGTGAATGAATGGATGAATTAATGAATATCAATGGTAACACAAAGCCATAGTTTGTTCTTGCAATGTAACTTTCAGTTCAGTCCAAGAACAATTTTTGTTCTCATCTGTTTATCTTTTACACATGTTATGATTAGAAGACATATAAATCGTTCATGTTGCCATTTGGGGGGGAGTATTAACTAAAACATTCCCTGTATGGTCACTCCATTTGACATCTCACTAGCCAGTAAAAAAAAAAAAAAAAAAGAATTGTGAAAGAATGAGGTGCTTATAATCAGCTGGCTGATACTTAAGGCAGTAAAAACTTTTGCAACTTTCTCTAGAGGCTGAGAGTTTGCCTTGTTTCTGAATTCCTTCAAAAGCACCGAAACTAAAAGTATAGCGGCCAGCTTGTGTTTGGTTTGCAGGGTCTCATGCTGTCTTCCTCCTCCTCCATCTGTTGAAATAGTTCTTTGGTACATGGGACTAGAATACATAAGAACTCAACTTGCCACAGTCCTAGGGAGAGCAAAACCCTTTACCCACAGATCGGAGTTTACTTCATGTATTGTGTTTGTACAGCACATCGGTTTTGGGTGTTTTACAGAACAAGTCACAATCTTACCGCACCCAAAAGTAGCTTCTTCATAAAATAATAAGAAATATGAGAATATGTTAGTATTATTTTACTTAAAAACCATTTTCTCACTTGATAGAACTGCAACCATTATCCAAATAAATACCATCCCCAAGATCCCAGCAATGCAGGTTGTTTGGAAGAAATGAGGTCTAAAATATATGATCTATCTATTTAAATTAGCTCATAAAAATGTTTATCTGCCAGGTATCACATGATCTCTGATAACATTTATTTTCTCTGTTAGTGGGAACATTGTAGGTTATCATGTGATTGTCCCATGTAGTTCCTGCCTTCTTTCCTGCAACAATGGACACTTCTGGATGTTTCACAGCCGGGCAGTATATGGAATTAACAGACTAGACTCCACTGGTAAGAAACAACTGACTTAGACATGCCCGTAACATTTCTAATGCATCGTTATCTGAGTAGACCTCCCAGTAGATGATTTCAGGATTACTCGGAGACCTTCTTAGCAAGGTTGGTTTTCAGACATTACTTTAAAAAAAACATTAACTATAGGGCCAGCAGGTGACCTAGTGGTTAAGGTACTGGACTTCCACATGGCTGTCTGTGGTTCGAATCCTGGATCGGCGGCTTGAGTCTCATGGCAGGCCCATGTGCATGTGTGCACAAAATCCCAGGAGGAGAATAGAGGGGAAGGGATTGTGGCATGGCCATCCTCCCAAGGGCTGATTTCTCACTTTTTCTCTCTCACCGTTTCTCTCTTTCTCTCTCCAATGAGCACATGCACCCTGTGACAAAAGCCTAAAAACAGAAGGGGAAGAATTAGCCAAAATTCATTATTATTTCTGTTTGCCATTGTATGTTAGGCTTCAAACTTGGCTGAACTTCTTGGTCTTTCTAAATTAATATTTTAGCTGCTCAAAAAAGCTGTCTTGAGAATTTTTAAAGAATTTAGATTTGGGGAACCAGCAGTTAGTGTGATGGCTATGTCACTGGACTCCCACGGAGTCGACCGCGGTTCGCGTCCCGGACCCGGTGGCTTAAAACTCACGCCGGGCGCGTGTGCATGCGTGCCCAGGATCCCGAGAGGAGAATGGAGGAGAAGGGATTGCGGTGTGACCATCCCCCCTGGGGGGTGATTTCTCGCTTTCTGTCTCTATGTCTCTCTGTCTGGCGAGCGCACGTGCCCTACAGTGAAAATCTCTCAAAAAAAAAAAAAAAGAATTTAGATTTGGTAGTTGTGTGTGTGTGTGTGTGTATGTGTGTGCACACATGGGCACGCACATGTATATGTGTGTAAGAAAGGCTGGGGCAATGGGGTTGGAGAGGAGGAGGACTAAATAACTTTTGTATTTGGTGATGCTTCAGGATAAAAATGGACATTTTGAGGCCACCCATAGTGATGTGACAGTCAGTCAGTGCTCCATGATGTTAAAGCTACCTGGGAGGGTCCCATGTTCACACCCCAGGGTCTTCCTGTGCACTCTGGGCAAGCATATGTGCCTTTGACCCTGGCTGACTGAGATTGGGAGTGGGCTATGGCATGTCTCTCTCTCTCTCCCTGCCTCTCAGTCTGTTTTTCTGTTTCGCGGAAGCAATCAATAAACTTCATAGATTTTTGATGTCTATATTAATAAACTAGAATAGAAGTTTAGTCAAGGGAAATAGTTAACACAAATATGTCATACTACTATTATAGAAAGAAAATAAATCAATTCTTTTTTTTTAAAGAGAGATTTTTGCTATAGGACATGTGCACTCACCAGAGAGACAGAGACAGAGAAACAGAAAGTGAGACATCATACCCCAGTGGGGATAACCATGCCACAAACCGTTCTCTCCCATTCTCCTCTTGGGATTTTGGGCATGCACGCACATCATCAATTCTTAAAAGGTAGTTATATAATTTTTTTTCTTTTTTTTTTTTTTTTTTTTTTAAGAATTCTGCCATAGGGCATATGTACTCACTGGAGAGAGACAGAGAAGGACAGAAAGTGAGAAATCACCCCCCAGGGGGATGGCAATCCCTTCTCCACCGTTCTATCTGCTCTTAGGCTTTGGGGCAACACACACATGCACAAGTACCCAGTATGATTCTCAAGCTGCCAAGTTCTAGACTGGAACCATGGTGAGCTATGCGGAAATCCAGCATCTTAACCACCTCACCACCTGCTGGTCCCTGTATAATATTTTTTTATGTTATATAGAATCATTCAGTTTTGTTATAGTACAATATTTAATACCTATTCACAAAACAGACAAAATTGACACTAAGGAATTTGACAATCTATTGATAAGTTGTCAGTTGGCATTAATACTCCTAGTACGTTGTAGTTTCTTTGGATCATAAAGCATATTCTTTTTTTTTTTTTTTTTTTGGAGAGATTTTCACTGTAGGGCACGTGCACTCGCCAGACAGACAGAGAGAGACATAGAGACAGAAAGCGAGAAATCACCCCCCAGGGGGGATGGTCACGCCGCAATCCCTTCTCCTCCATTCTCCTCTCGGGATCTTGGGCACGCACGCACACGCTCCCGGCGTGAGTTTTAAGCCACCGGGTCTGGGACACGAACCGCAGTCAACTACGTGGGAGTCCAGCGACATAGCCATTACGCTAACTGCTGGTTCCCATAAAGCATATTCTTTATTTAAAAAATATGATTTGCTAGGGCCAGCAGGTGGCATGGAGGTTGAGGTGCTGGATTCCATACGGCCAACTGTGCAGTTTAAGTACCAGATTAGCAGCTTAAAGATCACACTGGGCACGTGTGCATACATGCCCAAAATCTCAAAAGGAGATTGGAAAGAGAAGAGATTATGGTGTGTCCCTTCCCCAGGGGGTGGTTTCTCACTTTTCCTCTTTCTCTGTCTCTCTCTCTCTCTCTAACAATTGCACACACCTTACAGCAAAAAACTAAATCATATATATATGTGTGTATATATATATATGTGTGTGTGTGTGTGTGTGTATATATATACACACACACACACACATATATATGTTTGTATGTGTGTGTATCTATTTGTTGGGAAAGTCATAACACATTTTTGCATACAAAGATACTTCATGACTTTCCTGACAACTTAACATATATGATTTGCTGTCACAGACCAAAAGATCATAAATTATCAGGGTCTTTAAGCCCTCCAATTTTGCTTGGGTTTTCATAGACTGTAAATTTTTGTTTGTTTTTGGTTTTTATTTGAGATTGAACTGTTGCTCTCAATCCATCATTGGTGAGGAAGAAATCTTAATTTAAGACTCTAGTATGTTAAAAAGGCCATTTTCAGGCAAGGACTCATCTGCATTCCCCTAAATGGGATATGGGTTCCTAATTTAGGCATCCAGGTTTATAATTGTGCTACTCATGGGACACATTAAAGGAAGTTTCTGCTTTGATACTATTTTTCCTGCTTCATAGAATTCAAAACATAGGGCGGAGATTTCTCAATTTTGATTTACTTTTTAATATTGGTCAATTTTTCAAAGATAAAAGGCCAGTGTTCTTCCATTTGCACTGAATCTAATCCATGAGAAACAGATGTATCACAGGATTTCCTTCCTCCCTTCTTAACAGAGAAAGGAAGGTGCTGCTTCTGGCTGATCCGATCTCTTGGTTTATTTTTTCTCCTTTGAACCAATTGTGCTAAGCTGCTTCATGGCTCTGAGTATTGACTCCAAGAATATCAAATTTCTCCTTTGTAACCCTAATACTATGATTTAAAGCAAGATTGTCTAGATGCTTGGTGTAAAAAGGGGATTTCTGATAGTGTTAGAACTGTCCTTGAATCATCGAATCAGCAGCATCAAAGGAACACATTGACAAGCTTTATGAAAATCTAGCTGTAGACTGAAAAGGGTACCCGAAGGTTTATGTGCTGGGCTAACCTGGACATACAAACCTCACCACCACGACTGGACCGGGGGATGTTTTTTATTATACACAAGTCCAACGCCCTCCCCCAAATTATAGAAAATAATATGATAGACACCTATATCCCCACCAGCATCAAGTAAGTGCTAATCTCTTGCCTAATTGGAACCTGAAGCCGCTCTCTACCAAGACAGACAGTTGGTTACTTCTACCTTTTCATCAGTGTAACACTCCGCATCCTCGTTCACATCTCCTTGGCTGCCCTGTGCAAGGTGGGCAGTGGGAGGAAGGGATGAATGCTGGAATGTATTTGCAAAATAAAATTTCTTAATTCACACAATGGAATAATCTACAGCAACAGAAATAAATTAGCTAAATTTACATGTCAACATAGATACATCTCAAAAACACAATGAGACTAGTGAATTGGAAAACCTATGTGTAGTGTACATTTTAAGTATGTAAAACAATAATATATATCGTCTCTGGTTGCACACATTTATAATCACAAAAGTAAAATGACTCACAGTGTGCTTGTTGTGGTGGAAACTAAAATCAAACGTGATCTCCAAATCCTGCCTCTTTCCGTTCCACCATGAGGCCACGATCTCAGAGTGGGTACCGAGTCACTGAGTCTTCCTTGTGTCCCCACTGACTAATGGACAGCTGGAGATGTGCTTTTCTTTCTTTGTTTTGTTTTTTTTAAGAATTATTATTATTTCTATTTTAATTTGCTATAGGGCACATGCACTCACCAGAGAGAGAGAAAATAAGAAAGCAAGATGCTAGGACTCAAACTGCAGTTGGCCATGTGGGAGTCCAGTGCCTTAACCACCATGCCACCTATTGGCCCCAACATATGCTTTTCTTGTTGAACTTCACTGACTAGCAGTCAGTTTTTCAGTTTATAACATAATGACACTCAATAAACAATCTCATTGTCCTCTGCCATATATCTGATCCCGTACTATAGACCTGGACTTGATGCTTCAATATGAAATCTCCATGAGATTTTAGAATGTCGTTTTGTTTATTTCAGTGCTTGCTGGAATCTGATCCTACAGTTTACAGTTCTGCCTTGACAGTCCTAGACTGAAACCCACATATATCAAAGATTATACTACATATTATAACTGGTTCCAAAACCTTGTTATTGTTGTTCTCTTTTTTTAATCAGAAAAAAAGGCAACTTCTACTTCTGTCTTTAGTGAGGAGATGAAGAGACTGTATGCAGGACATTTCCCTGAACCCTCTAAAGAGGCACTTAACTCTAAAAGGATCTTGTGATAGCTCAATTATTAAAGATCATTAAGGGACCAGCAGAGAGAGTATTGGTTATGTTGCTGGACTTCCACATGGCTGACCATAGTTCGAGTTCCAGAACCAGTAGCTTGAAATTCATGCCAGGCACATGTGCATGCATGCCCAAAATCCTGAGAGGAGAAGGGATTGCGGTGTGGCCATCCCCCCCCGGAGGGAGATTTCTTGCTTCCTATCTCTCTGTCTCTCTGGCAGGTGCACATGCCCTATACCAAAAAATCTCTCTTAAAAAAATGATCATTAAAATAGATAGAAAGTTATCAGTGTATAGTAACTATGGCATAATGCAGGTAGAGGCAGAGTTTAAGTAAATGGATTCCTGAGACCCTTGTGAGTTCTAAGATTCCAGAATTTAAGACCTTGTTTAAAAGGTTTAAAGAATGTTTATGTCCTAGGTGGATAATATCAGATAATTTTATTTGCAGTGCATTCTGTAGTAGCTATTCCCTTTATGTTAACAGTATGGTTTATATAGAATGTTAACATATACAGTTCATATAACTTGTTCTGAGTTATTGCAGTAGTGAGCACTAAAGAATTTTATGACCTTTTATTTTCAGGTATAAACGTCCTACTTTGGGGCAACTTGCCAGAGATAGAAGAGAGTACAGATGAAGATGTGTTAGATGTCTCAACCGAGGAGTGTATTAGATGAGTGGGATTATATGTGTTATCCAAATGTTTCCCTATTTAAGAAATATATTCATGGTTCAACTTTTCAATGGTTAGTAAGGATCTGTCAGTGATTTCTTTTTTTGGAAAACAAAAACAGAGCATTTGTCGATCTATTTATTTGCTGTCTCAAATTAATTACCTCAGCCTAATTTAAGTCAATAGTGTTACTCTTTGCTTCAACATCTTCTGTCTCCACCTCCCCACTTTTCTGCCCAGTATTGGTGTGCTCTTAAATTTGTATAGAAGATTCTTTCATGTGTCTCTCAGCTACCTCCAATCTAGGGTAATTTTTCATATAAATGACCACCAGACATCATTAATTCTACATTCCTGAATAAAGGGTTACTACCCACACATATACTGACCATGCATATTAGCAAGGAATTAAAAAAAAAAAGCCCATTAGGTTTTCATAGATTATTATTTTCCTGTACATGGTTATCATATAGATACTGACAATAACTGCTTTAATATGGAGCAAGACTTTGTAACTGACAACTAGAATAAATTAAAACTTTAAAATATGTGAAGGAATCCTCTTGGTTCCTAAGCATGACATCAGATAAATGACTATCAGACAAGGGTCAATGTATACTGTTTATCCATGGTATTTATTTACATTTTTCTAAAGCCACTATGGATACTGTATTCTAAAAGCCACATAAACTAAACTGCCTTCTCTAAGTGATCCCATTCCCCTGGGCTTTCTCTGTAACCAGCAAATTTTAAATGAGTAGTCTCAGTCCCAACCTTTAAATAGAAAACGACTGAAGAAGTGGTTTGCTTATGCTGTTGTGTATGATAAAGAGTAAGAGTTTTGTTTTATTTTGTTTTTAAAGCTGCATTCAGAGCCACACAGAAATAGGAAACTGGGATTCTGTTGGATTCTGGTTTTATGTTAAGCTAAAATCAATGGATCTCCTCAGCTAATATCTCCATCTGGGGTGTTTTGTCAATAGTGATTCCAATGCAGAATGAATTGAGCTTTTGTAAATAAAGTTTGTTCTAAAAATGACCATCCTTCCTTTAATGTTTTATTATACCCACCGATCTTACCTAAAAAATTTATATAGAGAGAGTATAGATCATAAGGGCTAACGTGAACTGATTACCTGTATGTACCAGACATTGCTTAGTGCTTTGCACATTTAACTCACTCATTCCACGCGACAAACCTAGAAAGCAGGTACCATTATGGTTCTTTTTTTACTGATTAAATAGGTGAGATATAGGGAGGGTAAGAAACTTGGCTAAGATCACCTTACAACATCATTCAAACTACATCAGCAGGCTGACTCCAGGGCTCCTGCTCCTAATCTTTATGCCGTACCCCCTGAGCACCTCCAGACATGAATCGGTTATTATCTTACTTAGCCAGCTGCATGCTGGGCAACTAACTAGATTTTTATGAATCCCAGGCTAGGACAGGAGGGACTGATTTGAAGGTTAAACAAACTTATACTGGCCTTAGGCAAAGGTGACCTGTGGGCATTGAAAGAGTATTTGCCATAAACCAAGTTGCTTCTGGAAATGCCGTTACTAGCACCTGGAAAGCTTTTCCAAGGGTCTTTCGCTCTGCCCATCAACACTGACAGAGTGTCAACAGAAAAATGAGTTTAGAACAGTTTGTGTTTTGGATGTATTTCCCTTTAACCTCATCTCTTAAATCCTTCCTAGAACACAGTGGCATAACGGATGAGAGAGAGAAAAAAATAAGTTGGTACTGTATTATGTACTTCTTCAGTAACTTGTTCAATTAGAGAAGAAAAGCTTACTGCTTAAGGAGAGAATGTGACAAGTTTAAAATCCCATAAAGTTCATCTGGTTTCTGTTCAACTCATGCCGTCAAAGGCCATGGGTGACTGTGCGGCTCTTCGAAGAAAAAAAGGGAGACAGAGACGCACCAATTGCAGCAAGTCCCAAATGTGATTCCACTCCAGCTGGAGAATATTCCAAATCACTCAGCAACCTTTGGCTAACTGGGAAGGCCAATGGGAAGGCCAATTTTAAGTAGAAAATGGATTAATAAAGTTTTATCTAGAGAAATATATTCATGACACCATTTTTTAATAAAAGTGAATAATATACATTCTGCAAAGAATGTATATAATTCATGAATCGTGTGTGGATTTCCCATACTCTTTTTTTTTTTAACTTTGCTATAGGTCACATGAGCTTGCCAGAGACAGAGAAAGAGAGAATATGAGAAAGCAGCCCCCAAGGGGGCATGGCCACCCCATACTCTCTTCTCCTCTATTCTCTTTCATTCTCCTTTTGGGATTTTGGGCATGTACACACAGATGCCTGGTGTGTTTCTCAAGCTGCCAGGTCCAGGACTCAAACCTCATAGTCAGCCATCTGGAGTCTAGCCACCTTAACCACGATCCCACTGGCTGGCTCTAGCATAGTTCTTAGGCCTAGAAAACCCACCTATGCTTTCTTTGGTCCTCTTTTAATAATTTATTCAGTTCAGCAAACGTGTATGATTTTCCTGTACGTAGCAAGAATTGCACAATGACATCCTCGCACTTGCTTTCACAGAGTACAGAGCAAGTCGAGAAGAGAATAGCACCCTAATGGTCTATCAAACTCATCAGGTCAAGTGATGGAACAAAGGCATACTTAAAGTGCTATGTCTCCATGGAGGAAAGAATGATTATTCTGAGTAGTAGAAGACAGTGGGAGTTGAGAAAGCCACAGAGAAGAAATGATACTTGAGACAGGCTTTCAAGCACAATCAGGAGTCTGCCAGCTGGGATGAGCGTTTTGGGCAGAAAAAAATAGTATAAATAAGCAGAAGGGGGTTTAAAAGAATCTGCCTTATATAGAAGGGTATGGTCTCTCCTAACTTCCAAGAAATGAACTCATCAGAGGATGATGGGGGCAAGACTGTGACACACAATAAAATGCAGCTCTGTGAGGCTGCTCCACCTGGAAAGTGTCCAGGTTCGTGCTGGAACCTCCTTGAATATGCTGGACATGCACTTACCCATAATCTGGGGCTGGATGTGGCTGAGAGTGGATCTTGACTTCAAAACTGGCGGTGGTGCTCTCTCTCTGGCTCTTCCCCTTTGTCTCATCTCTCTCACTCATAGAAGAAATAAATAAACTTTTAAAAAGAAAAAGGAATGTATTAGAAGATGAGATAACAAGGAAGAGTAGAATCACATTATGAAGGATAGTTTATGCCATTGTAAATTTAAACCTGATCTGTAGCAACATACAGGAGAATAAAATGATCTGATTTAGGATGATAGTTCCCATGGTAAAGTGTAATCAAGGTTAATTTTCCTAATGTCCTTTTTTCTTTCTTTCTTTTTTTAAAATTTTTATTTTTTTCTGATGCACTTAACAACTTGACTAAGGAAATTTATTGCCTTTACCCTAAGAACCTAGGAAGTCCTTTAAGTTCCCAGAATTTCTTGTCTTTCATGGCACATCTGGTCTGCAGTTGGGCACTGCCTCTCCTTCCCTCATCTTGTCATTCCTGAAGTTCAAGGAAGAGCCAGTGAGTCATCAACTCATCCACCTTGGCTTTTTCTGTACTTTGTCTTTTTCCCTCAAGTCAAATTCTCAACCTCAAATTCAGGCTCTGTTGAGGCATCTTGGGTAGGGCTTAATCTTAAATCCCTAATATTTTGAATAATCTCAGCCTCTAAAAACTAGGTGTTTAAATACTAGTAATTTAGGGAGATTTTTAAAGTACTATTAAAGAACTACTCTTTAGTAGAACTACTAAACAACTCTTTACTAGTAGAATTACTTTTTAGTAGTTCTTTAAAATCTCTGACTCAGTAGAACCTCTGAGTCACATATGACTGATTAAGAATAATCTATATTGCTTTTCTTCAGTGAGGAGGAAGTGACCGTAATATATGAGCCATGGTATATAAAACAACAACTAACTAATCAGAACACAAATGGGGAGGAGGGGGGAGGAAGATAAAGGAAGATGGATTGATCTTGCCTGGGTGGTGAATTATTCAGTGAAGACTTTCCCTATTTTAACATTCGTGCTTATAAAAGGAAATAGTTTCCTTCTCTCTCTCTCACTCTCTCTCTTTTTTTTAACTTTAAAAGCAACCTAAACCATAGTTTCTTTCTTGCCTGGTATTGAGTGTATGCCAAATCTACCCTACACTGCACAGATGGAAAAAATTAGTCTATGTCTGTGGTACCTCTGGGGTTGAATATTTTTAGTACTTAAATCTTTAGCCAAAGATTCTTTCTTCCAACACTCTCAAAGAATCATTTTATTGTTATCCAATGGACAAACTCACAGAAACAAAATAAATAGTATGTTTTTTGTTTATCTCTTTATAGGTATTGAAAGCTTTCACAACATACTTAATTAATCCTCAGAATTACCTTGGGCATTATCATTCCCATATCACAAATTAAGAAAGAAAACCTAGTCCCAACACCCAGGGAGTCAGAAGGTCTAAGCTTAAATCTGAGTCTTTTCATTTTGGTTTAGGGTTCTCTCCTACCTCCCTGAGTTACCCTAAACAGATCTATTTTTTCTTCATTACTTATAATGCTTAATACAAATTTTGTCTTTCAACTTCAAAGTCAAGCTACTTTCACTAATTAATCCATTCAACACGTACATATAGTTTGTCTGTGGTGGACAGATGCTGAAGGTACAGAGCTAAGACAAAGCCCCCGCTCTCCTGTGGAGTTAACTTCCTAAGGAGAAGGAAGAAATAAGCTAGCATTATTTCTACGTGCTTGCTGTATGTCAGGCATTGTTCTCGGTGCTGTACATGAATGAATGAGTAGGACCTGTTATTCTCACCATCCAGATCAGGAAACTGAGGCATAGAGGGGCTAAAAAACGGGCCTGAAGTCACAGTCAGTAAATGACAGCACTCTAAGATCTGGAGAGGCCAGAATTCATTTGCTTAAAGACTGTGCTTCTTTTTTATTTTTCAATGTAGTTGTCTTCCATTCGAATAAAGTTGAGTTTTCCGCTTTGCAATCTTTATACATCTTTTCATATTAGACCTTAGTTTACTTTTGTTTCCAATTGAAATAAAGACACCAGTATCTCCTTTTTCAATAAGGGAGACTTAGTTTACATGTAAACAATAAGAATATTAGTCTTGGGGTCAGCAGCTGGCACGGACTCCCACACGGCCAATTGTGGCTCAAGTTCCAGACCTGATGGCTTGTTTTCTCACTTTCCCTTTCTCTTTTCTTTCTCTCTGGTGAATGCATATGCCCTACAGCAAACTTTAAAAAAATAGTAATAATAAATAAAATTAAATAATTATTTTAAAAATTAAAAAGAATGCTAGTCTTATACACTGGAGAAAGGAAAAAATATGTAAAACTCCGACTTTGCTGTACTTCTATCTAAAAATCAAGTCTTTTTTTCCTAGTCCAGATTTTTTATCTTATAAGTAACAAAGGTTCATCAAAGAGTAAATTCCCTTTCTCTTTTCTTTCTCTCTGGTGAATGCATATGCCCTACAGCAAACTTTAAAAAAATAGTAATAATAAATAAAATTAAATAATTATTTTAAAAATTAAAAAGAATGCTAGTCTTATACACTGGAGAAAGGAAAAAATATGTAAAACTCCGACTTTGCTGTACTTCTATCTAAAAATCAAGTCTTTTTTTCCTAGTCCAGATTTTTTATCTTATAAGTAACAAAGGTTCATCAAAGAGTAAATATTATACCTGTTTTTTAAGCTATCCATGTGTCTCAAATAGTATAATGAAAACTAAATTAAATGGCTACCTTTTGCAAATTGCTCTATTCTCAGCCTGTTTTATAAGCTGGTATTTAAAATCTATTCACATGAAATTTCAGAAGCAGGCTT